AGTAAAACGAAGACCAGAGCTGGAGTGATTCCTGACCAAAACAAAAGTTCCTTGCGTGTTCGTAACAGCTCCTTTGAGTGAGTGACTTGTTCCTTGCACCTCAAATTGGATTGTTTTCATAGTGGTGATTTTTGGAGTTGGTTCCTGAGTTCTCCAGACCAGCAGGAGGTCCATGTGGTGGTGATGCAGAGTGTGACCAACAGGTTCAGCCAGGTGGGCTCAGGGAACCTGGAAATGTGGCCCTTCCCTGCTGCAGCCTCTGGAGTTCAGGGCTGGCCTGGCATCCCCAGCAGCTCCAGTTATTTATTGGGTGCTCCAGGTCAACTTCTGCCTTCCCTGTCTGCCCCAGGGGGGTTCCTGGCACATTCCTCTGCCCCAGCTCCTGATTTTCAGGGAAAAGCCTAGAACTGCTGCCCTGGATGCTGAGGGCTCTGTTGAGCAGCTGCCAAGGATAGCCCCTGCTTCCTCAAGGGCATGTGCTACATAATTTATGTATCACTTACTCCATGAAGAGCTTCAGTGCTCCTTTTTTTGTGTTCTGGAGTGCTGCAGTAAATGGAACAAAGCTTTTCCTCCTTTTTTTTTTTTTTTTTTTTTTTTCCCCTAAGAGATGTTTTTCCTTCTGTTTACTGTGGAGCAGTGGATAAGTAAGAACTCACTGGTGTGTCCATGGCCAGAGGTGTGAGGAGCCTGGAAAACACACTCAGGGGGTTGCACATGGTACAGACCCCACTCAAGGCACGAGACTTCAGGTATTTATTAATTTTTCTGTGGCAGAGGTAATATTTTCCACCATCCTGGCAATCTGGTCAGATTTCTTCCACACAGCAGAACTGTTCAGTAGGTGAAGTGCTGCAGACCTGATTTCGAATACTCTTGCTGGGAGGTGGAGAGGGAAAATGTTGGTCCCAAGAAATAATCTGAAAACTGTGAGCAAAGCACTTAATTTGCTAACAGTGGACACTCCTGTGGGATAGGTGGGCATCTGCGTCCCTAAATTAACCCTTAAAACATCAGGATTGGTGAGGAGAAAAGGAAAGTCAGCTCAGACACTTCCCATCTGCCAAAAAGCCAAGAGAACTGAGAAGAAATAGTGGCTTCAGAGCTGGAGCAGTTGGATCCTGGCATGTTTTAATCACCCATTTTATTAGAAAAGCACTGTGGAGAAAGTTTTCCTTTAGAACAATCGTACAAATTTCTCCTCAAAATCCCACCCTGGGTCTGCTTCACATTATGAAATCTCTCTTCAGGGACTTGCTTGGGATTTTTTTTTTCCCTTAAGGAACAGGCTGGGTGTTGGAGAGACATATGCATTGTTTCACCAGAGCTGCAGCCTCTATTTCCAGACAAGAGGGAAGCACATTGTTTTGTGTCTTTGATATGATCCAGCCAGAAAACAGCCTCAGGGAAGAAAATTCCCAGTCCTTGGCAGCAGCACTGTCTTTCTGCCTTTTTTTTTCCCTCCCTCTGTCAGTGCCACAATGTTCACTGTTCTAATAACTCAAGACTAAACTCACATGGGGCATCTCAAAAGTCCTTTGTAAGACTTGAGGTCAGAACTTGCTGAAAGTTCAGAGGGACGAGTCTCATTTTCCTAATGAAGAAAAGTTCCAGGGTTATTTTGGAATTAGGTCTGAGAAACTGGTACAAGAAGCTACTTCAGTGCTGTAATTTAGTGACAGTGCAGCAGATTTGTGGTGGCTGCTGAAAACTTTTCACCTTCCAGCTCAGGCAAACTGAGCCCTGCAAAAAAACCCCTCAGGTGTTGGTGACAAAGGGCAGGGTTCAGCTCTCTGAAATTTGATTATTTCAGGTGCATGGTCTGGCTGTATCATCCTATGGAAGACACTCCAGGAACTTCACTTCTGGTTTATTTTGGTTGGAATGAGCCCCCTGGAGCTGAAGTGACTTTATTGAGGAATGTCACAGTTTATTTGAGGGCAGCTGCATCTAATGCTGACACACTTCTCAGAGAGTCTGGATGCTGGAATTACAGAAGGTTTGGATTCCCAGGGACCTCAAAGCCCATCCAGTCCCACCCCCAGGGCAGGGACACCTTCCATTATCCCTCCAGCCTGGCCTTGGACATTCCCAAGGATCCAGGGTAGCCACATCTTCCCTGTTAATATCCTGTTTATAGAAACACTCTGGATACTTCTGGTATGAAACTGAATTGATTTTAACAGATATTTTTGTGATTTTTTCCATATTGCTCTGTAGGATATTTGTGACAGGTCACTGATGAACATTCAGGGAAGATGGTGGGGCGTGAGCTCAAGTTAAAATCAAATATTTTTTAGTAACGAGAAGGACAACAGAACATTAAAAATATTAATTATTACAATTTCCTTATCTGGCTGCTCTTCTGGTTTTCTGTATAGCGGATTTTCTTTTTTGTCAAATCTCTTCTTCCCTTTGTCTTAAAATATTTATAGTTTTGGTATAAACATAACGTAGTTGAAAAATTAGCTGAATATAGCAAAAGACACAACACTATTAAAGTGTTGCTCCAAAGTGCTTAAAACTAAGAATAGTCCATTAAACTTGGCTCTGGTTGCGTCATCTGATGTGAAGTGTTTATAATTTTGGGTTGGATTAAGCTATTAGACCATTTAACTACTCCTGTATTTGCGGGTGGGGAGAAATGTGAATTATTCTGTGGAAGAATTGAAAATACATCTGTGGTTTGAGGCTTCTAAGGAATGATAAATTTAGCCCAGTGCTGTAATCAGTCCGTTTTGTGCCATTCTCCTTAGTCTCTCATTATTGGCTGTAATTCCAGCAAAAGGAATATCTCTATTCTCAAGTGGGTTTGTGGTGCTGGGGGGGAGCCCTTATTTTTATTTTTTTAAGTTTTTCTCCTGAAAACCAGCTGAACCATACAAACGACACAGTGGTGGATTTCTCCTTAAGTTTGAAGGTTGAAGTTGTGTCTTGCTGGGAGCTATTTTTACAATCTGTGAGGACTTGCACGTTTTTACCTCAGCACCATTGCTGCCTTTAACACAACATGTGCATTTTCAACCTTAACTGTCTTGGAATCTGAAATGGTTTTATTGACCCTTTAAACAAACCCAATATATGGCAGGGATACTAAATATAAATATCCCTAACAAAGAAACCAACCAAACATTAGAATATGCTATCAGGCTGTTTGTATTAATGATTAATTAATGGGGGAATGGGAGCTTCAGCCTCGTGCCAGAGAGTGAACTGGAAAGGGGATGCCTGGAGCTGATGCTTGTAGGATTTGTGAGATTTTATGGCCAGAGAAAAAACCCAGTGTTGGTTTTCTTGTGCTTTAACCAGTGTGTGGGAAAGAGGAGTGGAGTCGGACCCTGTTCCTCACCTTCTGTAGTAATCTCATTATTGCTACTAAAGGTTTGTGTTCTCATCTTTAGACTGACCCTGTTTTTTTGCTTTGGTCTTCCCTTCCCATAGCCCTTGGGTGTAGGAAATGGAAGAATCCCATGTCCAGCTCTCTCTAAACCCATTGGAAGCCTCTGGGTTGGTAGAGGGCACTGAAGCCCTGGCACAGGTGCCCAGAGCAGCTGGGGTTGCCCTGGATCCCTGGCAGTGCCCAGGGCCAGGTTGGACACTGGGGCTGGAGCAGCCTGGCACAGTGGGAGGTGTCCCTGCCATGGCAGGGGTGGCACTGGGTGGGATTTGAGGTCCCTCCATCCCAAACCATTCCATGATTCTGTGGTACGTCCCAAGGCGTAAACAAGAGCTGGGAGCACATCCCAAATCCATGAGGGAGCCACCATGCAGCTCCTCAGTGCCCCTTCCTCTGCCACCAAGTTTTCATTTTCCCCTTCCCTCCACTTCCAGCATTTTGGTCCTGCTTGCCAAAATGTTTCCTGATGTGTTTGGGAGCTGACAGGTGGGATTGGGAATTCGGGAAGAGCGCGACAGGGAAGGTTTTGCCTCCATATCTTCCAGCTCTCTATGATGGGATGGGAATGGATGCTGGAAGGGCATTTCCTGGCATCCTTCCAGCTGCCAGAACCCACCCAGTGTTCCCTCCCGTGCCTCTGGTGCTTCCACAAAACCCCAGGTGTGGGTGTCCAAAGGCACTGGCCCTAAAGTGGGATGTCAGGTGGAGTTTTGCTTCTGCCACTTGCTGGAATGGGATGTTTTCTCCCCTTGGATCACGTGGATGTGTATGGAGATCTTTCCAAGTGAAAAATAACCCTGTGATTATCTGTACCCCAGACAGGAGCAAATGCACCTCAAAACCTGCAGAATAACCCTGGTTCTCCAGCTGATTTAAAATGGATGTTGGTTTTTGACAGTGCTGTGACCTCACTTTGATTTTTCTAGCAGCCTGCTGTGTCTCAGGTGCTTTCCTGTGGTGCCAGGATCTCCCAGGATTTGGGGGGTGCAGTGCAGGAAATGCTGAGCCAGGTTTGGGCTCCATAGCCATTCTCATTTGTTTGGTTATTTTAACTTTATTTTCCTAAGATTGCTGGAAAGAGGAAGATCTGGTTAGTGGCTTGAGAAGGATACTTGTGAGACACCAGAGTAAAGAAAAAGAAAATGTGTTTTTGTTGCTTGCTGTGTTCTGGGGAATTTGGGTCACTCAATCCTCCCAAATCGCTGCGTCTCTGAAGGTACCTGTAACCATTGAAGTTAACTTGTGAAAGGCTTTTACCACTTTAGCCCTACAAATATTGAATGATGTCTGTTATGGATTGCAGGAAATATAAAGGGGGAAAAATCTGTGGTGTTCAGTGATTTGTTTTACTACACTTCAAATTTTTTCTCATTACTTCATGAAATTCCTCTCTAATTCAATCTTTGTCTTTTGTCTTTGCTGCCTTGCAGGGTTGGTACAGTAGGCCTCACTAAACTTAGCTGCAACTAAGAATTTCTCCTACATCAACTGAGTTAAGGCTGATGCTCTTGTGGAATGTGGATTAAAAGTGCGTGCTAAGTTCCCAAATTTGAGAAGCGGAGAAAAGTAAATGTACCACTGCCACCAGCATCAGGACAGCAAACCAAGGGACAAAGAATTTGACCCGCTGTGTTGATTTTGGTTAAAACTGGTTCACGTGGTGCTTAAGAGACGTTGGCTGGGGGGCGAGAAGTGGACGTCAGCGAAGGCTTTTTGGTTACAAAATGAGGGCTTCTTTGGAGCCAGCAGACATTGCCATTGTGGCCCTGTACTTCGTGCTTGTAATGTGCATAGGTTTCTTTGCCATGTGGAAAAACAATCGGAGCACCGTGAGTGGCTACTTTTTGGCAGGGCGTTCTATGACCTGGGTAGCTATCGGGGCCTCGTTGTTTGTGAGCAATATTGGAAGTGAACATTTCATTGGGCTCGCAGGATCTGGAGCGGCGAGCGGATTCGCCGTAGGCGCGTGGGAGTTCAACGCCTTAATGCTTTTGCAGCTTTTGGGATGGGTCTTCGTGCCAGTCTACATCCGGTCGGGAGTGTACACCATGCCCGAATACTTGTCCAAGCGGTTCGGAGGGCATAGGATTCAAATCTATTTTGCAGCGTTGTCTCTACTTCTTTATATCTTCACCAAACTCTCGGTTGACTTGTATTCAGGGGCGCTTTTTATCCAAGAGTCCCTAGGGTGGAACCTCTACCTGTCGGTGATCCTGCTGATCGGAATGACGGCGCTGCTGACTGTGACCGGAGGGCTGGTGGCCGTCATCTACACGGACACCCTCCAAGCGCTGCTTATGATCATCGGGGCCCTCACACTCATGATCATAAGCCTCATGGAGGTCGGTGGGTTTGAAGAAGTGAAAAGGAGGTACATGTTGGCGTCACCAAACATCACCTCCATCCTCCTAACCTACAACATCTCCAACACCAACTCCTGCAACGTCAGCCCAAAGCCCGACTCCCTCAAAATGCTGCGCGAGCCGACGGACGAAGACATTCCCTGGCCTGGATTTCTGCTGGGACAGACCCCGGCCTCAGTGTGGTACTGGTGCGCCGACCAAGTCATAGTGCAGAGAGTTCTGGCTGCCAAAAACATCGCCCACGCCAAAGGCTCCACCCTCATGGCCGGCTTCTTGAAGCTGCTGCCCATGTTCATCATCGTGGTGCCGGGGATGATCTCCCGCATCCTGTTTGTGGACGACATCGCCTGCATCAACCCCGAGCACTGCTTCCAGGTGTGCGGGAGCAGGGCCGGCTGCTCCAACATCGCCTACCCGCGCCTGGTGATGAACCTGGTGCCCGTGGGGCTGCGCGGGCTCATGATGGCCGTGATGATCGCCGCCCTGATGAGCGACCTGGACTCCATCTTCAACAGCGCCAGCACCATCTTCACGCTCGACGTCTACAAGCTCATCCGGAAGAGCGCGACCTCCCGGGAGCTCATGATCGTGGGCAGGGTCTTCGTGGCCTTCATGGTGGTGATCAGCATCGCCTGGGTGCCCATCATCGTGGAGATGCAGGGCGGGCAGATGTACCTGTACATCCAGGAGGTGGCGGATTACCTGACCCCGCCGGTGGCCGCCCTGTTCCTCATGGCCATCTTCTGGAAGCGTTGCAACGAGCAGGGCGCTTTCTACGGCGGCATGGCCGGGTTCGTCCTGGGCGCCATCCGGCTGATCCTGGCCTTCTTCTACCGCGCTCCCGAGTGCGACCAGCCGGACAGCAGGCCCGGCTTCATCAAGAACATCCATTACATGTACGTGGCCACGGCCCTGTTCTGGATCACCGGGGCCGTGACGGTCGTGGTGAGCCTGCTCACGCCGCCGCCCACCAAGGAGCAGGTGAGGACCACCACCTTCTGGGCCCTGTGGAAGCGCGGCGCGCCGGAGAGCGCCGGCAAGGGGGAGCTGTACCAGGCGCAGGAGAAGAGCATCCTCAAGTGCAACGAGAACGCCAACCACATCATTCCCAACGGGAAGTCGGAGGAGAACATTAAAAACGTGAAGCCGGAGGACATCAACCTCCTGGTGACGTGCAGGGATGACAGCAACCCGGTGATCTCGGTGAGCCACTCCGAGGTGGAGACGCCCGTGGATTGTTATTCCAACGGACAGGCGGCCCTGATGGGGGAGAAAAAGCACGAGGAGGAGGAGGGGACTGACAACAGGGCGAGACATTTGAAATTCATAGATTGGTTCTGTGGCTTTAAAAGTAAAAACGTAAACAAGAGAGTGGTTCGGGAGGTCGAGGAGGAGACTGTTTGTTTACAAATGCTGGAAGAGACTCCAAAAGTTAAACTATTACTAAATACTGGACTGGTCTGTGTCTGTTCGCTTGGAATCTTCATGTTTGTCTACTTCTCTTTGTGAGTGAATAGTGAACTTTTAAGGGTATGGCTTAAACATACAGAAGTTGATACAGGTCTCTGGAGATTTTTGGTTTTTCCTTTCTTTTCTTTTCAAACAACATAACCACAACCCAGGCATTGTTTACGCTATAATTGTAAGATCAACTCAGCTTTAGCCTATTTTGAGACCATTTGAGATGTGTTGTCCTCCCTCTGCTGAAAGCAGAACCTGTCCTGTGGTGGCTTTTTCGTTTTTCCCTTTTGTGTTGTTTCTTTTTTTTTTGTTTTTTCCATTTGCAGCACTAACCTTTTGTTTTTCTGTGTATAAATATACCAAAGGCAGGCAGGTGGCTGTGTTTGAAGTCAGGCAGTTACAGCTCAGTCAGCATTAAGTGAAGATAACAGGTAATCAGTTACCAGTGTGTAAAATCTGAGTGATTAAAGCTGTGTCAAAAGATTTTTAGATGCAGAGCTGTGATGCACATTTATAAAAACACTGTATTACCTTGGCCAACTTAGCACTTCTTAATTGCACTCACTGCTTTCTTTTCTTTTTTCAGTTTCTCATTTTTCTTCTGGCAACAACAGGAAGCTGTTTTGTCTCATTTTACAGCACTTAAAACATGATAGCTCTTAGCAGCTTTCTGCCTTTTTTTTTTATTCTTTGTAAGGAAATTTTGTCTTTTCATTTTTATCCACTGTAAATTCCACTGCTGAAAAGTTTCTGTATTAAAAAAAAAAAAAAGAAAAAAGAGAAAAATCTAAAACAAAAATAAGCCTGGAGATGACAAACTGTCAATAGAGGAGGACAAAACAGAAATACTCTTTCTGTGGGGTTTTGTAGTATATTGAAATTGAAGAATCACAGAATTCTTGGGGTGGATTTGGGATGTCCCTGGGCAGCTGTTCCAGGGCTCTGGAACAGCTCTTTCCACCTCCAAGAAAGAAATTTTTCCTCAGGTTTGGATAGAATTTCTTGAGGTCCAGTAAATGTCCAAAAAAATTCATTCAGCCTCTCCAGCCTCTGAACCTTTAGGATGTTTGGATTAGCTTCTTTTTAGGGAAAAATCTGTTTGTAGGTTCTACCATATGGGAAATAAAGAACCATGAGGCTTTGCATGTCTTGAAAAACCGTTTTTCACCCTGCAGAAGCATTTTCCTCTGCTGTAGATGGGAGGAATCCCAGAGGAGGAAGAGGAGGAAGCCCCAGTGCTGCAGGGGGAGAACAGCTGTGAAGGGGAGGAAGGGGAAATGGGGGAGAGAGGTGAAAGTGCTCCTTGTTTTCCAGAGTCCTTTTGCCCCATGTCTTCTCCCACTTCCCCTTTCACCCTGTCAAACTTCCTTTCTGTTTTTTGAGGAATCCCAGAATCCCTGAGCTTGGAAAAAGCCCTCAGTGATCATTGGGTTCCAGCTGTGCCCAATCCCCACCTCGTCACCCAGCCCGGAGTGCCGCGTTCCTCGGACACCTCCAGGGCTGGGCACTCCAGCAGCTCCCTGGGCAGCCCCATCCCATGAGTGACCTTTGTGTGAAGACATTTCCTCCTTCCCTCCCTCCTCAGAGCCATCCCGAGGGATTCGGTGTCGGGAGACAGGGAGCGCGTGCAACCACAAATCTGTGTCGGCAATTGAGGTCTGTCCTGTCCTCAGGATTTTTCCAAAAGCCTGAATTCCTCCCAGGCAGTCACAGCTATTTGTAGGTCTCCAGATCCAGAGGATGTTTCTTCCAGATGGACGGATGGATGGATGGATGCCCAGGCAGGGATGAGCAGTTCCCAGGTGGGGAGGATGTGTGTGCAGCAGGTTGGTGCTCCCATCCTTCCCCAAGCCGAGCGGGGTCCTGGTTTTGGGAGCAGAGCCCACCAGTATTAAACTCCTTCCCTCTCCAGGACAGTGGTCATATCCAGGCTTTCCATGGAAATAATTCCTCCAGTTCTCTTTGCTCCTGAACCTGAGCTCATTCAGGAGAGCACAGACTAGCTGGGCCAAAATCGGGCTGAGGGACCATTGTGAGCGTTCACCAAAACCAGTTCAGGGGTCCAGCACCGTTTCCTTGGCACACAAACGAGAACCAATTCCCGTGGGGGAAACCATTTTGTAGAGATGAAATTTGGGCCAATCCTGCCTTTGACTGCTGGAGAAAGTTTGCTTTTCCAGTGGTGCCATCCACACGACTCCTAGTAGATAATTTCCAATATGTATTTTCAGATAAAAAGATTCACTTCTGTTTTTGGGGTGGTTTTGTTTGTTTTGGTGGTGTTTTAATATCAGTTGAATCTCATTCATTCCAAAACCTTTACCAGAGGCTGAGCTGCTCCACTTTTCTCCACTTGGTTTAGTTGTTGCTGCTGGGAAGTAAAATTACTCCAAAGTGGAAAACTTGGAGTGTTGTTGCAATATATGTAGAGAGGAGTCAGCATACGTGGTGTTGATGTTGCTGCCAATGGGACAAAACACATTTTCTTATGATTTGTGTGGCCACAGCTTAATTTGGGAAAACATTTAAAATCCTTAAATGTGGTGTGTGAAATTAACGGCATCTCAAGTTTTGCTTCCTTAGTGGGCTGAGCTGTGAAGGATGGTTTGATGTAAAAGCAGGGAATTGTTTCCATACGGGATAAAATCACTTAGGGCAATGTTTGATCGTAGTGGGATGAAGAATAACTTGTCGAAGGTAAAGAAAATTCTCTCTTGAGAAGGTTGGGATGTGGCTCAGACGCCTGGTTTTGACCCATGTCCGCTGGGAGCTCGGCACGATTTTGGAGCAGCGGCTGGCACTGGGATTTTCCAGGCTGCTCCTCGCTGTCCAGCGCCGTGCCAGCGCCTGGGAAGCCAGCTTAGCTCAGGGACCCTTTGGCCGGGCTCCATCGCCCCCCGCGCTGTCCCCAGGGTGCCTTACGCGGGTGCGGCTGGAGAGGCGCCGCCGGCGCTTCTTCCAACGCCTTCTCCCTGCTGCTTCCACCCCTCCGCCCCTCCCGGGCCCTGTGCTCCTCCGAGAGGACCCTTGGAAGGGTTGGCAGGTGGAATTCCATCCTGCTCGCGTGGTTGGATCCACGAGGAGCTGGTCCTTGGCCGCGCGAGGGAGTCCAGTCCTTCAGGACTGCGCCGCGGAGCCCGAGGTGCTCCATCTCCCACCTCCTTTATTCTCCCTTCTGCTGCACTAACGAGCTGCCCCGTTAATCACGCTGCTAATTGGCAGGCAGGATCATCGTGGGGTATTAATCTGCCTCCCCGCCCCATCTTTGGACCTGGAATTGTGAAGCTTTTTAAGCAAATTCTTTCTCCAGTGCTTTTTCTCTTCAGGTGTTTCCGAGGTGTTTCGTGCGCTCCTCTTCAGCCTCATTGTGTCGTAGAGATCCTGGAAGTTGCTGATGCTCTTTGCTGCGTAAAACCACTTAATAAAAGGCCTTTATTATTAAATAAAGATATTTCTAAGGTTCCAAACAAGCTGCCTGCTGGCGAGAAGGACCTTGTGTAGGAGAAGGGATTTTTTATAGCGTAAACAAGCCTTTGCTGAAGGGGAAAGTTGATGATTTTGGGGTTAAACACCCATTTTTTGGTCCAGCAGAACCACAGAGTGGACAGTCAGTTCCATGATTTTTTTTTTTGCCTGGCCCCCTCCTCCTGGGTGGGGCTGGTTGTGCTTCTGTCTTGCAGCAATGGGTTTATTTATTATTGCCTTGAGCTTAGGATGACAAATCTTGGAAAACTGAGTTTGGAATGACAGCTTTTTTTCTTCTTGTTATTTCCCTTAACTTATTTTTTCTGGAAAGATATTTGAATTTTGCTCCTGGAAATGGTAGAAGCCTTTTATTAAAAAAATTAATAAAAAAAAAAAAAAAAGAAGAGGCTTCTTGAGAGTGTAATAGTGAATTTTTGGAGACTGTTTTTATTTAAGTTTTTTTAAATGGCTGATTTGATGCTACTCTCTGCCAAAGTTTAGAGCTTTTTTTTCTTGTTGTTGTTTAATTTTTTAAAAAATAATTTTTCCTGTTTAGCTTTTAGGGAAAGGAAACAGTGCGAGACTGTAAGAAATAAAAATGGCCTTCAGTATATTCCTTATATTGTGTATTTTTTACTTCTCCACTTGTGTGTTCCCTGATCCCAGAAGGGCCAGGATGAGACTTCTGTTGAGAGTCATGAGCCCTGTAACCAAGCAGAGAAAAGGATTTATTTCCACGAGGTTACAGTGGAGGGGGCAGAGCCACCCAGGGAGCTCTGCCAGCACTTAAAAGATGCTTACAACTTTAAAACAGCTTTATTTTTTTTATATATCTATTTTTTTAAATCCTGAGATATAGGAGGTGTTGGGAATTGCTCCCTTTCAGAGGACAGAGACATGGAAGAAGCTGGAGTTGCCAAGCTCCAGCTTTCTCAAGGAAATCTTTGGATTTAGCATGTACAGAGAAGCAAAATTACTCATCTGTTAATTTGGTATTCTGTATGTTCTGTGCCCTTAAGTGTAATTGTTTTGAAAATAAAACTAACCTTGTTACGTGATGTTAAAAAGCAGACTTCTGTGCAATGTTTTAATTTTTTTGGTTTTTTTAAAGAAAATGTTTGTATATAATTAAATGGTTTAATGTGCTTTAATTGGCCTAAGGTAAAGAGTAGTCCTAGAATGTAAAACATATATAATTAGAATTTCTGATTTCACTGTGAGATCTCTGAACTCTTGTTTTTTTGTTTTGTGTTTTTTTTTTTATTTTATTTTATTTTATTTTTGCAAAGTGGTTTTGTTTTGTTTACAAAACACTTTCTCTTTGATTTCTTTCCTGGTGTTGGTTTCAAGGCATTTGCTTCACTTCTGTTCCAATCTTGAACTCATGGTATAGTGACATCTGGTGACACTTGGCATTCTCAGTTCCACTGTGTAAAGTCAGACACTTTGAGCAAAACTGGCGGTGAAATGACAATTCTGTGTCTAGGAATTCACGCTTTTAAAATGAGGTGGTTATAAAAATAGTTGCTGTGCAAAATGTTAGTAGTCTTCTTCAAGAAGAAAGCAAAATTTTCTAATCTCACTCGAGCAGTCTCTTCATTCATCATCTTCTTTTTTAAAGCACAGTGTCAAAGTGATGCTGCTTTACCTTGTATCTCTGAGAAAAATGTTTTTTTAGATATCTGTGAAGTATTTTTGGGTTTTGTTGCTGTTGTATTTTTCTGCAGATTTTATATAAAATACCAGTTAATAAACTGCCTTTTTTCTGTTGGTTTTTTTTAACTCTCTAAAATACATTTCAGACCAAAACCAAATGATATCATATAGCATTTGAAACCTGCCTTTTTCCTTGTCCCTTGGTTGTTTTTTTGGAAATAAGCCAAATGGGCATGTAGATAAGATCACTATAATGGAACCAGGTCTCTTTTGGTAAAGTGTTATTTAAAGGTCTGTTAAGATCTTATAAGACAATATACTGAAAAAAAAAAAAAAACCTTTACTGTAGTAGGAATATAGATTTAGAAGTGTTAATGAGATTAATACAGCTTAATTATATTGTAAGTTGCTACTGTCCTTAATGACAAGCTTTTTGTCATAGAAACGATGTATGATAAATTAATTTTGGTCTAGTGTATAGAATTATCATATTGCTATCAATCTTTGAAGTAAATCTGATGCAAAATTTTCATAGTTTGCATTGCTGGCCCTGTGTATACTGTTCTTTGTATACTGTATGCATTTTATTTTGCCTCCTGCATTAGTCTTCAAACTAAAACTCTTATTAGAGA